TCTTGCCTGAAAAACTTAGGTAGTGGATGTCCTTCACTTAAAATAAGCCAAGTATATTTTATTTGATTAAGAAGATTCTTGTAAACTTTCTCACGTATAAAAGCTTTGTTTTGTTTTGATATATACTCTTTATTTGTCTAACGGTTGAAAAGATACTGTTAGAGAATTTAGTCAGTATACTAAATCTTTTATTTTAGTTATAGTATTAGTTATTTTAGTTTTAGGTACCTTACTCTTAGTTTAGTTTTCATGATCACAACTTTATTTTTATATTTTTGTTTTATTTCATTTTTGCCTTGTGTTGATACAATATTTGTAAGTATTAGCACTAGGAAATCTTTAGAATAATTGTTATCCCCTTAACTTTTATAAATAATTCAGTCTTCACCCTCAAAACTTATTATAAACTATATTCGTGATAAAACCTACCTTCTAAAGTATAGTTTGTAATATTATTAATTGCAAGAGTATCAATAGTATAGCCACAAGCCTCTGACTCATCACAATGTAAGTTTGTCTGTTCAGGAGCATCATTAGAATTTTCCATTTCAATAGAGATGGTATCATCCGATTTAGATGCGGGAGCATCAGCGAAGCTGGCACGGTCATTACTTCATAATATAATATGGTTACTCTTTTCTTTGTCAGGTTGTAACTGTTTCTATTCCAATTTCGCAACCCTAGCTTTAAGTTTAGCATTTTCCGAAGCGGTATCTTTATCATTCTGCTCCAGTTTCATAAATCTGGATTCATGTTCTTCCAAAACCTGTTTTAATTTTGCATTCTCAGTTTTAAGTTCGATGTTCTCAGACTTGATCTCAGTGTTTTTCCGTCTAAGTATATCATTCTCAGCTACAAGCTTGGAAATTCATTCTTCAAATGAAGAGACAGAGTCTCGAGTTTGCAACTCGTCGACTTTGGATTGTTTGTTTGCCATTTTTTATATTTTATAAAAATATAGATATATTCAATTCTTTATCGTGTTAATGTAAACCGATGAAATTTCAGCGAACATGTTCACCAAAAAATGCCAAGAAAAAATAAATATATTTACACGAAAATCTTTATTTAACCAGTGATCAACTGATATATTTATTGCTGTGCAATGACTCTTCGAATCTACATTTTAAAACCGCCAAATCTATATAATTATTTTCGCTATATAAGTATCGAATTATACCCCCATCGGGTAGTGGATCCTCTGCTTTCAACCCACGTCTGGCACGCGATAAATCTGTAAAGAAGTAGTGATTATAATTAGCGATTTTAACAATGTATGTAGCACAATGAAAAGATTAGCACAAACGTACTAGCCCATGTTAAATAATTACTTACCAATATTCCCTCGCCTCTTATCACAAGATCTTTCTGGTATCTCGGTTTGACTTTTTTTCGGTTGGGAGAGTGTGATTCGGTTATTCAGATCTCGTGCGTCGTTGAGATCTTGCCGAGGAATCGAAGAAACAAGCGCCCCACGTGCATCTCTTTCAATTCCGGCCTCTAGATCTTCGTATATCGACGAAAAATCGCGCAGATGATGGAAGAAGGTACTATGAATGAAATAGACGATACTGTGCCTGATCCCTCGGGTTACGGGAAAATTTCCATGAAGTAGAAGACGGGAAGAAAATGCCACGACTTGTCCTGGACGAAGTGGAACGATAATTTGGAGTTGCGGAAAGCAAAGTCACCCCCCTCGAAATCACCCAACGCAACCAAGCAACATAATGAATTTGGTTCGTCATTCTCATCCCAGTGGTAATCACTAATCGTGTTAAAATTGATTGCGATCATGCGAAAAATGTTGAACGGTCGAGGTCCAAACGGCCCCCATTTTAATTTGGATAGTTTCTCATATAACCCCGCATAATTACATTGAATAAAATCATTGACGCAATCTGACAACGGCTTTAGAGAGCGAAGGAGATCATTAACGCATTCGCGATGGTTGGCGTTATGGGAGCTTGCGGTGTTTGAGCTGGTGAAAGGAGGAAGATTATTTCGCGTGTATACTCCAAAGTCTTCACTGAAGTTCGTCCAAAATTCGTTGCTACGATGTGATGGGTTATTCAGCGTATGAAGATAGTAGCGATTGACAGCATTTACAGCTTCTGTGATCGCAGATGGATTATCTAACTTTTCGAGATGTAATAAGGTTCTATTTCCACTATCAACGACACACTCTGGTTCCACTATATATCAAAATTGCACGAGTCTTTCCAGTGATTGAAAATCGCTACGGTGCTAATATAATTAATTGCGTTTTCCTTTTTCGGTTGATATTCGTGGTTGAAAAATTTACGTTATTTCGTAGGTCTAGGGCATGTCTAAGTTTTCTCCACTTATGTTTAAGATGTCGTCGCACCTCTCTTCGCTCTATTGGCTCTTTGAAACCCAACCATCGTCCAAAAGCAACCCACAAGCGATTGTCATTATCACTGATGGATGGTAAGTCTGCATCTATTCGTCCACCTCTCTAATTATATCTACATCGACTAATGTGAGAAAGTTTAAAGGAATCTCGGATAAATCGGGATCATCGTTATTAATTTTTGCCTCTCGGATTAAGGTTTCGACAAGTAAATCTCGAGTGGAAACATCTTGTCGAGTCTTGTTTTTTTAGATGACACACAATCTTCGAAATTGATGGGAACACTCGTCCATTCCCTTTCAAGGTAATAGACTTTATCATGCGTGCATAATTCTCTGGTCCCGTGTTGGGTTCGGTGCTAGTATTGCCGATAAAAAATGTTAGCGATAACCAAGCAAATGGTAAAGTAAAAGCCTAATATTCTATTCTTAGGTTTTAGATTACTTAGGATTCCATATTTTTGCGGAGCGGACTAATTACCCTTGCCACTGAGCCATCATCTCCACTTGGAGTATGACGATTATGGCCCTGTTTTTGCCGAAGCAAACTCGTGACAAGTAACTTAGGTAATTCTCCTATCAGCACAAAAACCGAACCCTAGAATCTAAAGTTCATAAACTCATAAAAATAAATATACCCTCGACGGATCGAATACAATTTCAAGGTTGGTCGAAGAAATAGTTACTACGTCTTCTCGTACGTGGGGAGATCCATTTTGTTCGTGTCTGTACTCACGTTCCCACTTAAGTCTTTTATTTCTGCGTTTGCGGGCCATTCGTGATAACTTCTTTGTAGACGGCGCCTCCGACGTGACAGCTTCTTTTTGTTTGTTAGTCGAGTTCATGGTTACGATAAAGCGATGCAGAGAAAAAAGGTCTTGGTGTATTAACTAATAAGCAGAGAAATCAAAAGCAACACTATCCGACGAGCCGTTAGAATTATATAATCCTAGAGCCAGTCTTGCGTGCAATACGTAAATCAGGTATTACGTAAATTGATTGGACAAACGCGTGCATCATAGAGTAATTGACAACTTTATTAAGTAGGAATTTAGACGTGACATCGAAATCGACATACAGTACCTTTAGTATAACGCGCGTTAAGCAACAAATTTCTCAAATGTCAGAGCCTAACACTACACAGAATACGATTCTCATTCCGCCAGATCTTTATTATAAAGGTGAGTTGTCCCTTTTTATGTCGACTATAGCACGCAAAATATCCTAGACTGTTTTGTAACTTCTGATTTGCAGAGTACTGGCTAAATACCAGCTTTCAGGATTGGTCTATTGAGTCGTTCGATATGTTTTGGATCCAACAAAATCCAACTCTCCATCAAAGTCAAGATCGAGCCCATACTTCGTTAGGTTCCGAGTTGAAAATTCTCTCTAAAGCATCTGATCAAAGGGTGGCAGAAAAAGCGTTGCTCTTACAAAAATTATTAAAGGTTAGTTTATTGTGAAAGAAGGAATGTCAGGCAAGACTGTTTGTCAGCATTTAACTACGCCCCTCGGTGCTTCCGAGGAAGGTTGGGTGCTTCCTAACCTGATGGGGAAGAGAAGCGCGATGGCTTCACTCATCGTGATTCTTTCGCGTGTTTATGTTGACCGGGTGTACTACGCCCCTCGGTGCTTCCGAGGAAGGTTGGGTGCTTCCTAACCTGATGGGGAAGAGAAGCGCGATGGCTTCACTCACTATGTGATTCTTTCGCGTGTACATCCTGCTTGCAGACATGCACAAAAGATAATACTGTGTATTTCCTAAAGTTCTTACTGCTTTTACTATCTTTTTACAAGTGTAAGAAATCGGCAGAAATCATTGATATTATCTGGGACCGGAGCGAAGAAATTGCGGATTCAAAAGTTCGTTTAACGCTGAGTGAACTGCTAACCAAGGTGATTCGAAGTTGAGGTGATGTTATTATAAATGTTACAATTATTTGCTTACTATTTTGTTTTCTTAAATTTTCAGACGAAGGTTAAGACAAATATTGTCAGTGAAATTGGAGATTTAGGAAGGTATTTCTTTAAATGTCACGCGAGTTTTTTCTGAAAGCCATATCTAACTTTAATTCCGTTCATATAAAGTTCTCCTGATGCAATATCAGCAGTGCAACCTCAAAATGAAAAGAATCATTCTTACAACTGTTCTAAAAATAAAAAGAAGAGCAAATCTAGATATTTTAACAAAAGCAGATCCAAGAAAAAAGATAGGATTAATCTTGCTACTAAAGATTTAGATTCTGAGTTTGATGCTAGTTCTTTTGATAATAAATTCAATTTCAACTCTGGATCTAGTTATGATTCTGAATTAAAATCTAATTCTAAGAGTGACTTAACTGAGATTAAAATCACAAAAATTATCAATGCTGTTAAATCAAAAAAAAAGTAAAGTGAAAGGGTAAATCATTCTCTAAGAAAATATCTAAATCTCATAAAACTAAACAGAAAGATATTGTTACCTCTAATAAGTTTTAAAATAAATCAACTACTCTTGAGCAGAATATTTGTCAAATTTTATTAGATATGCTTGAAAAGATTCTACTTTCATATTAGTTAGAGAAATTTAAATCTGAAGATAAATACTTAACTACTTCAGATTTTGTAAATTATCAAGAACCAATATCAGAAATACCAGAATCAGATGGTAAAGAGAAAATACTAGATAATTCTATAGAAATATATTTTGTCCATCAGAAAGAATCTGATATAAGTATTATAACTATATTATATAAAACAATATCTTCTGATATAATTAGAGATTCAGTCTTACTATCAAGTATCAATACTAGAATTTTTAAGCATTTAATTTTATATATAAATTGGCTAATTAATAAATCAGAAAAATATAATCTTAATAATATTATAATAGTTTTAATAGAATCTATAAATATTGTAATTTCTTAATAATATTCTCTTTAGATTTTACTATATATGAAGATTTTGTAATTATATATATTTCTAAATTAATATTAATATTTCCAAATCTACTTCTTAAGAAATATAAATATGCTATAGATTAAAGTAAAGATGAGTTAAAAATTTCTTTTAATGAAAAGGATCATATTATTCTGATTAATATACACAAAGTTAAGAATAAACTTGAAGTAAATTATACTATTATATCTCAGAATGATAGAAATGAAATTCTATTACTTTGCAAAATCAAAGAAATAATACTAAAGAGTTATAAGTTTTTGATATCTGATCAAATTTCTCAAGAGATGAATAGTGATAAGAATGATAATATATCTTTCAAAAAATAGTATATTCCTTTAAGTTTTAGCTCAAAGTCTGATAATTCATTATTAAAAAAATATATGAATTATGAGAAATTAGAAAAATCTCTATATACTACTCTTGAGTTTAAGACTGAAATAAATAATCTTTGTAAAAAGTTATAAATGCGTTATAAAAAGTTACTCTTATAAAGTAAGAATATTTCTATATCTAAATATATCTTCTCTAGAGATGATAGTATAAATAAAGAAAAGATAGATCTAAGTAATAGCTATAGATAAATTATATTTGCTTTATTTTTTTTATCTCTTTTAGCTTCTTTTTTATATAATGCATTCAGATTTTCACTACTTATTTTTTTTATAAAGTCATCAATATTAACTGATATTGAGTTATTACTAGATATTAGATTATATATATAAATAGATTTATTGTAAATTAATAACTCTTCAGATCTAAACCAAGATTTGGAACTTCTCTTTTTTATTTTTGTATTGAGAAGAGTAGTAAATTCTGGATATAAGTCTCTCTTTTGATTTGGTTAAAATTTTCAGATGAAGTTGATGAGACTAATATAGAAATAATACTTTGTATTATTTATTACTGATATTCTTGATCTTTCCATATATTATTTACTCAATATTTATTAATATGAAATTCTCTTATAATTCTATATTTAGGGTATCTATCTTTGAGTGATCTAATTATTTCTATCTGCTCAAAATTTAGATATATAAATTTTTGATAATATAATTTTAAAAATGGCGTGTTCATGATTTAATTTTTTATTAAATATTTAGAATAATATTTAATATTTTAGAATAATAAAAAATGATATTTATTATTTTAGAATAATAAAAAATAATATTTATTATTATATATAAATAGAAAATATTAGTGTGAGCAAGTCTTTGACTAATAAAAGTATTATAAAAATAATTACTATACACATCTCTACAATATATTATCAGAAATTAATCATGCAAAATGCTGATCCAAAGTTTAAAAAGCTAATTTTATTAATATCATATATAATAATATAAATATAATAATAAATAAAAAATAATTTCATTTTTTCTTTTTTTTTATAATGCACAAAAAGAAGTTGATAAATGAATAAAGAAGGTAAATAATTAGCGCTTATCTTGCTAATATCAAAGATCTAAATCTTGTACTTAAATTTAATATTTCTTAAATAACAGTATATGATACTATTAAATGATACAAAAAAATCAATTCTCCACATCCTAAAAAATATTCTGATTAGCCAAAAACTCTGACTAATAATAAAAAGTGTATATTAAAATGAGTTATTCTAAAAAATCAGTTTTTTCCACTTGATAAAATTATAAATAAACTAAATGATAAATTTAATACTACTTACTATGCTAATATTATTTGTAAATATATAAATGAAATAGGATTTGAAAGCTATACTTCAAGAAAAAAATCTTTGTTGATTAAATTGGTGTTGGAAGAAATATGACTGGAAAGTGCAATAGAAAAATATAATCTGATTTGATAAGTTCAAATTTATACTTTTCAAATCAGATAACTGGGTAAGAATATAATAGAAATCTAATGAAGCTTACTATCAAGAATATATTAAATCTACTATTAAATTTGATGAAGAATCAGTGATATTTTAGGAATATTTTGGTTAGGATGAGATTGATCCTTTAGTATCAATAGAAGAAATTATAAATTCAGATATTTATGTTAATATTCTCACTAATTATTTTGTATTCTGGACTTATCAATATCTATATTCTATATTTTAATAAAATAGTATATCATGTCATACTTCAATATATATGACTTGATGAATGTTAACACATGATATTTGACTTTTGAATTGGATTGGTCAAAATCCTGATCTCAATCTGATTAAACATCTGTGAGATATTTTGAACTATCAGATTTAAAAAAGAAGACTGTTACCTATATCAAAGCAAGAATTAATTCATATATTACAAGAGAAATAGGTAAATATTAATTTGAAAACTTTGTGTGAATTAATTTTAAGTCTATCTAGATATGTAAATAAAGTTATTGAAGCCAATAGCAAAAGCACATTATATTAATTTATAGATTCTTAAATTTAAACCAATATAACTATATATTTACCATTTTATTTTTCTTTAATTTATCATATATTTAATAAATATAATAATTTTTTATTTGATAATAAAAACTTTGATTCATTAAATGATCAATATTAAATTTCTAGTAATATATTATGAGAGTGTGTATAATCTAATTCAGATATGAAGTATCCTGATTTGCAAAGAATATTTAATTTATTTTTTTAATAGATTAGGATATCTAATATTAAATATTATTAGATAATAATAGAAATTATTAATAAAATTAGTTTTATTAATAATTATATATTATCTATTATTTAGCAAAGTAAGCTAATATAACTAATATATATATATTTTAAAATATTAAAGATTATCAACTTGATAGTATATGTGAAGAAGAACTAAAAAAAAATATATGATATTATCAAATCCAAAATCAAAATTAACAAGCTTAGCAAGAAATTATAGAATAAATACATAAAGTAAATAAAGGCTTTTAATCAAGAAAGAAAGAAGTAGAATTAGGATTTATTATAAAATAATACTGAGATTCAAAAATTATATATTTATACTTTACAAATTATTAATAAATATAAATAACTACAAAATAAAAATGCTAACCTTATTTCTCATAATACACACAAGGATATTTTTATTGCTAAATTCAAGAAAATTAGATCACTTGAGTTTATAATCAAGATATTGGAAGATAGATTAATATCAGCTCAGAATGATACAATTTCAACTTAAGAAAAGATATATTAAAAAAAGAATCTGAGATTATATTTCTCAAGTTTGAATTGATAAATTTAAAGAATAAATTGGTTTTGAGAATTAGTGAGCTTGAGAATCTAAAATCGAAGAATATATTAAAACTTGTGATTGATAGAAATATCAAGAGACAGAATTCTATTATTTTTACAATAAAAAATATATAAAATAAGGAATAAAGTTTCATATTAAATTCTAGTAGGAATATAATCTTATTATAAAGTAATAATATTTCTGTAATTAGTAATCCTAGTCACCTTGTGATTATTTTTGGCAATAAAAATCTAAATAAATATTTTGTATGCAAAAAAAATATAGATCTAATAGAAAAAATTGATAGTAAGATTATTAAACTATCAAAAAATAATATTAAGATTAATCTTAAGATAGGTGACTCATGAAGTAAGAATGCTAATACATCTGAAACTAGTACTAGTGAAAATAGTAAGAATATTATATCACAATCTCAAGAAATACTGAATATAGCTTCTTATCTTGCATAATAAGAAAATAATATATCCTTTTTGATTGAATCAAATTTTCAGATTTTGATAGGAAAAATAAAAGTGATGAGATCTAGTCTTGAGACTTTACCTCTCTTTATTGTAATAAGTACTTTAATAATACCTTTATTAATATATATATTACTTACTTTATTAATTATTATGATTATATAATTCATTATATTGAGATATATGTGAAGATTAGAAAGAAAAAATAAGTAATTACAAGATATATGGGTTAAATAAATATTTATTTAAACTTCATCACTTGATTCTGGATATTTTATATAAAATTATTGAAAAAAAAATACAAGAGTATGAGTGAGACAGATTTCTTGAATTATAAGCAGAAGTTTGAGACTAAAATAAAAGTTTCTACTACTCTATATAAAAAGAATTAAAAATCTACTTTTTAGCTTTTATTAAATATGTATAATTATTATTCAAGATAATACAATCTAGTTAAGTAGTAATTTTTAGAGCAGAGAAATTGCTATATTTAACTAGCTATTCATTTTAGATAAGA